GTCCCGCCCCTGTCTATTCTGTCCAATGGGAGCAATGATCGTCACACTCGTGGCTTTGTTTACAAGTTATAGTTCATTTGCAAAAAAAGCACAATGTGAATGCAAACCGCACCAAATGAAAAAAAAAGTCCATTTTTGGTCCGGACCAAACAATTGGACCAAAGGACTTTCCTGGTCTGAATACACCCTTAGTCCTTCAAATGGACTTGTTTTGGTCACTTACACATACAAACAATACATTGAAATTCACAACCTCTGAGCAACAAGGCTAGAACTTAGGCTCCACTTTAGGGCCCCCCAGGGTGGGAACCATTGAGTCCAGCCACCTTTTGAACAATCCTTTTGACCACCTGTGTCCACGGCCTCATATTAGGTCCACTTCAGGCAGTACCTTACAGGCTGCTTTAACAAAATATATGTCGCCAAACTTCAACAAAAATAGCATGAGTTTGGTTCCAGTTTTGGAATTGTGTTGATAAAATGTCGTTTCAACAGGATTTGAGGTCGTGTTTRTTCGCCTTGGTGAAGCCCCGGCTAGGCTGTGATGGAGGAGGAAGTGTAGGTTTGACGTTAGAGGAAAGTGGGCTGAGCCGACAGAGGAGAGACGAGCTCAGGCAGAGGCGGGAGAGAGGAGCACAGACACGGCGGAGGAGTGGAGCGGAGCGGACGGAGCCATGAAGCGGGCAAGAAACTCCACCAAAACGACGAAAACCGGCCCCAAGAGGCGACGCAGACCGAGGCAGATGACCGCGGGGACGAAGGCGACCGATGAAATGGGTAAGAGCTCGAGAGAAATCGTCCGAAAGCGGAGAGAAGACAACATGGAGGAACGAACGACAGCCTAGGTGCAGTGTTGTAAAAATGGCCATGGTGTGCTGACAGGGAAGAACAGGAAAAAAAAAAAACCCAGTTTTCGAGTTTAAATCGTTTAAATTAGTGTTTTATTTGATATATTTCGCATGCTTGGTACTTTACTTTCAAGTTGGCTCCATCGTTGTGCGGACAAACTTACTTATTGTCGAAATTTTCCGAGTTATTTGAACCTACGCATTTAAAATTTCCTTTGTCCTTGAAAAGGGCAAATGCCCCTGTCTGAATTTACTCGATAAAAACGACAAAATCACGCAAATGTTTCGTTTTTTAAATGCTATATGACGATTAGTTGACATAAACACAACAACCTAAAGCACATTTTTGTTTGTTTTCACTATATTACTTTTTTTTAGCTTTCTTTGTTAAATTAGAATTTTTAAAAATGACTCAATTGATTATTTTTTTACATGTGGTTTTTACAAACACTTTGGTAATACTGTTTGTGACAAGATTATTAAAAAGGTATATTTTAATAATTAGGATTTTAAAACAAAATCAATAGATTGTGAGAAGTTGCCAAAATGCTTAAAATTGAATACTTGACAGTAATTTCTTGAATATTGACACCAAACAAAACTAAGTTTAACTTGATTGTGTACTAATGGTTTTGTTCGTTTTAAAAGCTTAGATATACTTCGAAATACATTATAGGGTGTTGGCTTTTAACCCTTGAAGCTACTGAATGGTGAAGTAATATAAATATGTATAAAATGCTTTCCTTCCAAGTGAAAATACTTCTACAGCACACATTAAGATACATTTTCATCCTAGAGATCTTTAACTAGACTTAGGTTAATTTGAACATGTCCTAAATACTGTTTAAAAAAAAAAAATAAGTACTTATTTTAATCCTTTCTGACATTGTCGTTGATACTTACACATTTAAAGACAGATATTATACGTATTGAAAATAGATRTTATGGAGTAGTTTATATTAGATATTTGAAACTCAGACATTATTTTTAAATCCAAAAGGTTAGTACCACTCTGCACATAACAAAATGTCCGCTGTAAGCCATTCTGAAATGGATGTCATTGTTTAAGGCTGATGTAATTGCATTTCAAACAACAAATACRTGCAAAAATAAAGCATTTGCATGAGTAAATATGCGAAGGATTATAAATTTTAATAGTGCGTAAATAAATTGGTTAATAGGTAATAAAATAATCTTGGGTATTTAAACAAAGAAAATTATGAGAGTTTTTAATAAGTTCAGATTTTGTAATCATAATTTTGTTTGTGTTTTACAGATCGTTCCTTTGATGTTTTCTGAATCTCGTTGGAGAGGAAAGATCATTTCGGCGATTTTGAATGGTACGTTAAATTTTAAGTAGGTGAAACAATTTAATCTTTGTCGTAACTGCTGTGTACATGTGGCCACCAGGGAGTGCTGTTGTCATTGAATTTCTACCTTATTTGTTTTTCTATTTTCGAAGGTTTGACATTTAGCCACTGCGAATCGAAAACTTCGGAAAGTCGCTCTGCGGAGGAACTTTGTAAGTACGATTTTAATGCTGCAAAACCTTTCGAAATGTCGTACGTTTTTTATGTTTTAACTGAAAGAATAAACAACACAACCCCCTAGTGTTAGAATTAGCAAGAAAATATTTAGAAAATAAAATTGCATGTTGTAGTTCAACTGATTTTCTTGTAGATTTCTTTCTTGGCTAGCTTAAAACTTATTTACGCCAACTAAAGTTATCATAAACACAGACTATTTAACTCATTAACTTTGCCTATCGTAGTTGTAGGCACTTAAGTCCAAATCATAACTTAATGTAAATTGTGATGTTTTAGTGTGTGGATGATTATAGCCAGCTAGCTAGCTTGGAGAGTAATTTTGTCGCGTAAATTAAATAAAAATAACTACCATATGTTGCTTAAAAAATGAAAATTATCTTAATTATCAGATGAAAACAAGTACATTTCAATATACATTTATAATCAGATAACCTACAAATTGCATGTTGTAACGCAATTATGTATAATTTTATGGTTTTATGCTTTATTATAACAACTCAAGTGACAACGTGCTTGTTGGTCGTGTTTAACACTTAACACTTTAGCATTTCACAATGCTTAAAGACTGACTTCCGCAAGAATAGACGAGTTTCAACATGCTATTTCATGAGGCACCTTGTGGGGGTGCTGAAGCCAACCCACCTCTGATGTGCTTTGGTGTCATGACGCAAGGTAGTAACAGACTTGAAATGGTCGACTTGCGAAAAGGTAAGCCGGCAGTGCGGCTCAGGATTGCCGGATGTACCATAATTGTATTTTTGCATTAGTTTCAGGGTCAATCAATAACTGGTATAAAAAAATCATAATTTTAAAATTTCTGTGCATTGACACAAGTTTTTTATTCACGCAAACACCTAGCCTGGCTCTTGCCTTCCTACACTGCTCCGATCAATTCTAGTTTCCCTTCTCTGCTCCGTCTGGCATTTCTCCCATAGGCAAGGATTGCGCTGGCAGATTTTTAGCCGAACCAATCAGAGAACAGAACGTTGATTTTCTGCGCAGTGTCTGCTTGTAGTTTATTTTACCTGGGCCAATCAGCAAACAGAAGGCGGAGTTTTGAATGACGTCAATTTTCTGCGCAGTGTCTGCTAGTTAGTTTAGCATACGGCAGTGGAGGAAAGGAATGAAGCCAGTCCGTCTTGATAAGGCTTCCAAATTAAAATAAATTTGTCTGACAAAGCAGCAATCGTCACGTTCGGCTCGGTACTTTTCTCCTCTCAGTAGGGTTTTTTACAGCGCACGCAATTTCCGGTTAGCTTCTTAGCTAAGCCTACTTCACAGCGACACACACTTCAACAGAGGCCATGCCTCCAGCAAGAATCGCTTTCTATAGCCGTGAGTCCAGACCCTCGTACGAAGCAAAGTGAAGGACAACAAGATTCTGGTTTTTACCAGGCTAGCAAACACCCAAAAGTCTGCATTCCCGCCAAGCTTGTTGCGCCCCTCCCCTCTCAATAGCGCCATTGCAAATCTTAACTCATACCTCACCCCGCCCTGACCGACACATAAAGCACATGCACCCCCGCACCCTCCCTCGGCACATACTGCAGTTTTGGTCAAAAAGTCGTAGTTTTAAAGTTACAGTACAAATATTTGCCCTTTCCTATTTGGCTAACCCTGCAGCCCAAAAATTTGATGAAATGATGACATCACTGTTCAATGTCGCAAAATTAAACAAGATGTTGATGTAAGATCGATGATACACAATAACTTGGTATTTAGCTCACAAATGATTATATAACCACAAAGAAGTGTGAGGGTAGTGTCTGTCACATTGCTGCACTGTACTTTACATTAACACGGCTGAGGTCACGCCTGTTCTGGTTCTGCAACGTTTGCTTCATTTTGGAAAACCTGTGTCTCTTCTGACTGTGGCTAGCTCAAGAACAGTATTTTTTACTAACAAGTTGTGGTTAGCAACTGTATTTTTTCTGTTTGCTTTTAACATATTTATAAACACTTATTTTTGTAATTGGAATAGAGGCACTGGTTACACAATGGTCATATGGGGGCATAATTGTCGTCCAATAACAAAGAGGCTTACAAAAGTCAACTTGGTAAATTCAGTATGTCTAGTTAAATGTATTGATTCACATTTGTTAGACAAGATTCACTCAGTTAGTTCTGTGGAAGTAATACTAACTTTTGGATGTACTCCTCTTGGCTACTTCTGGTCTCAACAATTCAACTCTCCTTTTTGCTTTTGTACAGCCCATTTCGCGTTTTTGTTGTACAATACAGCTGTGAAGATGAGCCTTTCTCTAAATTGCTTATGGTCATTTATGAATGAACCAATCAAGTTGGCCAGATAGGTTGCAGTAACATTTCAGCAGTGGATAAGCTTAAACTTGCATTGATAATGTCGCATTTTATTGACACGGGAAGGTTTCACTTGAAAGCTCATCGGTGTACAACGAAGACTCACCAGTTCCAATTTAATAAACAATATTTGGGCTTTGTGGTTAACTAGGTTTACAAATTAATACGGAAGTTCCTGTGTGTCGTCATCGATTTTTCCCTCACAAATAAATCTTTTGTTGAATAACGTGACATGGTAATCACACGCATGTCGTCACATTATTAAGCTACTGCATCTTCTTTTCACTTGTTTAGTGTTTTAACGTTTACTACCTTGCTTTGCTGCTCAAAGGCTCATCGGAGATGGGTTGGCTTCAAACCCTTCACCACCTCTGTCCATTCAGAAGTCTCTCAAAGGTGACCAGAAGGCATCTTTGGTGTGTCTTGAGAAAGATCCTTATGTCCGTTGATTTTAGCTTGCAGGTCTGCAGTTACATTCCAGTCCTGTAGGTGGCGATAATGAGCTGATTA